ATAAATAAATAAAAAAGTTTTGACTTTCTTTCTTTCGGGAATTTTAAGAATGTAATCGTTGAGAAAACGTCAAAACAAACAACATCAAAAACTGAAGACTGGTTTGATGGAATTTTCCCACTAATATCTATCATTTCGTTTTCGTGAGAGTGAATTAATTTTGCTCTTGCATATAAAGAAGATAAATAAGTTTGAGGTTGTCAAAGAAAAGGAATAAATGGGATTTACATGAGCAACAAAGAAAGTGAATTTGCAAGAATTATTATGGCTTAGAAGTATCAGATTTCGTGTTATCATCGTTTAGTCTTCTCCATATGCTGCCAGCTAAAATTTAAAAAACAAATTGTCAAAAAAAAAAAATTTCATCATTTCGCCAGGTCATCGTTTAGTGTTATCATCGTTTAATCTCCTCCTTATGCTATCCAGTGAGATCCTACTTGACTTGATGTAGACGTGTTAAAAATGATGGCAGCAGGCGGTGTAAATGTAGTTGGAAGATAGTCAAGAGGTACAACAAACACTCTTTTATATTCCTTTACATTGTTTTTCATAAAGTCTAGTATTTCGAATAAATACATTTTCTCACAATTTAGCTTGCGTAGTCTAGGTAAATGTTTCTATCGCTAAAATGATGCAAGTTGAATTAAATTTGTAAATTTACATCGTTTTCATAATTTACCTATCAATTTCAATAAGATTGTCAAACTCGCTGTAGACAATCAAGTTGACGTTCTCTTTAAGCGGCTGAAATATAAATGAATGAATGAATAAGGAACGAAATTAACTGTAAAAATATCTACTTCTGCAAATTTAATATCGAGTCTCAAACTCCCATTTCGTGGCACACTCCAATGAAATTCGCTGGCTCCAATATCGGTCGTTAAATCATATCCAACAATGGAATAACCACCGGAATAATTAGCTCTCTCTATTGCAATACCTATCGTGAATTAAAATCTATGAGATTATTCATATACAAGATATTATTATCCATCGTACCATCATCCTTGAAGAAAATATTTGAGGATTCAAACAAGCTTAAATATGCTTCCAGATAATGTCCCTTACTAAAGTCACATTGTATTGGACGTATTTGTGTGTGAGAATCTGTTGTCAATAATATGTTTGTAAAGTTGTAATGATGGAAATTATATGGGTTAAGTTTCAAACTGCCATTCATTGCAGACGAATTAACAAATGCAAGATAAACACGTTTTGGAAGTTGACCTAAAATGATTTCTTTTTAATAACAAATGAAAGTAATAACAAATGAATTAAAAATTACCAATAAAAATATTATCAATCATTTTGGGTTGTAAGTTAGAGCCCAAACTAACTGATTTAAGTAGAACCAAGTTGATTGGATATTTTGCATTAGCTTTGGTTAGCGCTCGACCATGCGCTAGAACTATCGACGGATTAATTTTTATTTTGGGAATTAATATCATGAAGATTATGATGACATCACAAGACATCTGCATAATCAAGGATGTGCACCTGTCCCACAGATCTCTGAATCCGAAATTAAAAAAGAGAAACATAGAAAGTGAACTTTAAATTATTAAAATAAATTTTAAGCAAACACGACGTAAATTTTGTTATATTTACTTCGAGAATGTATTAAAAATAAAAACATACAAGAAAAAAAAAACAATTCAAAAAAAGTAAAAGTGAGCTTTTTAGCTAACAAGTGTAAAAACTATTGAAAAAAACAATTGAATAAGTTAAACTTAGCTTCTTAAACATGAATCCAGAAACTGAAAAGATAACATTTCGTTCAGCTAAACAACAAAACTTAAGGAAAAGACTGAGATCTACAAGTGAAGTTGGAGCGGACAATGAAATTGTTGTTGGAGATAGCATTAATTACGACTTGATCAATGAAACCAAAGCAAAACAAAAACTTCGAACACGTCAAAATGGCGTGAAGTTTGCGACTTTGGCACTTGGGAAAAAAATATCACTCGAAGAAGAAGTCACGGTTAAAGATCCGTTTAATATCCAAATAGGAGGAATGGTCAATATGCAAGCTCTCAAAGCAGGGAAAACTAAAACTAATTATGAAGGTGCTTATGATACTGACATTGGCACACAATTTTCGGCAGAAACTAATATAGGAGACACAGATGAAGAAATGATGAATACATTGTTAAGATAATACCAGATGTTCGGCAGATGTTAGTGAGTACTTTTTAAAATTATTTTTAAATAAATAAATAAAAAAGTTTTGACTTTCTTTCTTTCGGGAATTTTAAGAATGTAATCGTTGAGAAAACGTCAAAACAAACAACATCAAAAACTGAAGACTGGTTTGATGGAATTTTCCCACTAATATCTATCATTTCGTTTTCGTGAGAGTGAATTAATTTTACTCTTGCATATAAAGAAGATAAATAAGTTTGAGGTTGTCAAAGAAAAGGAATAAATGGGATTTACATGAGCAACAAAGAAAGTGAATTTGCAAGAATTATTATGGCTTAGAAGTATCAGTAGATTTCGTGACTTAATGTTTACTTGTACATAAATATTAAAATATTCTTCAGTTTCAAATCGTGATCGTAGTGAAAAAGTTTGAAATAATTTTTACATCATCATCATCATGAAAGTTTTCCAAAGCAATGAAAAAAATATAGTTGATTTAACTAGTGAAGTTGAAGGTGATATCATAAGTGTTTCATCTAACGACAGCGAATCCAATCAATCATCTGAGTAGTGTAAATATGGGGATTGAAGTGCCAATGATAACAAATGATAGAAAATGATGATGTGTGAGAATGAGGGGTTGAATAATTTATTAGATTTTCAATATATGTACGATATTCATAATAGTTTGAAGGCGAAGTGATTGTTTTATGTCAATGGAAAAAACCCACATGTGGCCAACAGATTTTTGGGTGTCAATTTTCATTTAGCGACGGAAACCGTTTCCCTTACTTTGTTGAAATTGTCTTATCTTTTAAAAAATTGTTTTACTACTGCTATTAAATTATTTACAGATGGTTTCGAATTTTCATTTTAACAATTTTTTGTTTTGATATTTTCTGTTATATAACATGCTTGACTGCACTGATCAATGAGACATCTTACCGGGATTTCCCCAGTTTCTTCAGTAAGGAGTTTAACTATGGCAGTAGAAAGAGCTACCGACTCAGTTTCTTGATTTAGTTTTTTATTAATTTGTTTTGGAATATGATTTGAAGTTGATAGGAAATTTTGAGTAGAAATGGGTTCTTCCGGGTGAAATTCAGAATGAAGTTTTGGAATGTGTGATTGCTTACAATTGTTTACTCCACACGTTATGAGATTTATCAAAGGGCAAACCGTCCCTGGAGTATATTTATGTCTTACGCAATACGTGCATAGTTTAAGTGACTGTAACAATCTTAATCGTGTTTTTGAACCTTTGAATTGTTCGCAGTCTATTGTGTTGTGCGAGTTTGAATTTTGACAGATGAAGCATTGGGTAGGGAACATTTGATTTAAGAATTTATGATGATTTTGATTTGTTAGATTTGGTTTGCGTTGGTTTAAATTTGACGTATTGCCTTGGTCGTTTGGGTTATAGGTAATTCTATTACTTTGATATTGCTGGTTTGTGGTTTGAGGATAGCTTTAGAATGGTTGTTGACTATTTTGATTAAATTTTTGATTACGATTAGTATTATTATTTTGATTATAATTATTTCTATAACTTGGTTGTTCTCTGTAATTTTGATTGTGATTAAAAGGTTTTATCAACGCGTTGTTTTTGTTATAGTTACTATTTTGGAATGTATTTGTAGCGAAGGTTTTGAAACGATTAGTCGTTGACAATTTAATAAGCAATTCTTTATGGAAATAT